GAGAGGACAACAGACTAAACACGCAAAGGTGGCTTGTGCATAGCTCCAGTACAGCAACAGCACCGCCGTCGGGATGAACATTGTCTTCGTGCCGCTTGCCATTGGCGCTCTCTCCTGCAGGTGTTCAACTCACTTGTTTTGTTGTCCGGGTCGAGCAACATGCGACGCCACCACATCGCGGGCGGAGATCGAGCAGCTGTCTCGCTGCTCAGTGCAGGTGAAGCGCTCCCCTCTCCCCCTACCTACCTGTGTGCGTGTGACAATGTTGAACTTCTTTCGCACCGTACGTCGCCCCCTGTCCGAGAAGCTCAGCGACTAACTCCCGTTCCACGGTATGCTTCTCGCACCACGTCCTACCAGCACATCATAGCCACGGTAACACCTATCTCTCTCTCTCTCTGCTTCCCACCACCACCTCCTGGCCAGCTCAGACTCCAGAAAATGAAACTGGGGGGGATTAAAAAAAATGATGAAATAAAACAAAACAAAAAACTCGCAGATGGAAGAGCGAGGCAGTGCACTCGAAGCGAAATGTGTCGGTGGCATGGGGAGGGGGGGGGACGTCTGTCGAAGAGGAAACTCACGATACCCGCCGCTGCGTGTGGACACCGTGAAGAGCACTGGATACCCTGCGCGGAGGAAAACGGAGCCGCTTTATGAAGACAGAGAGAGCGTGGTGGCCATGGTGTCACCATAGCGCAGTGACGAGTGTCACTCTGGACAAACTCGGGCTGAGCACGGGGCGTGTCGTGTTTTTATTCTGAAACAACAACAAGAAGAAGAAATACACCGGGCAAAAAAAATAAAGAGACACTTGTTTTGGGTCTGCAAAAAAAAAAACGACGCCGTGTTCGGCGATGTGAAATTGCACGGGGTAGGGGAAAACAAGGAAACTTCTCTTTTGGAATGCTGCTGCTATAGAAAATATACTGCAGTGTAATTACATTGGTTGTTTCCATTAACATGTAAAATCATGGTCGCTTTTGAAATATATAATGCACAATAAATGAAAATGGTACGTGGTTGTCGCATTCTGACTGTTAATTGGACAAGTTTTGTCTCCATAATTTTTCATAAGTAAAAGTGCTAATAATTCTGCTCGATTGTAAAACAATTATATTTCAAATATCTGAGCTGAATTATGTAAATACGTGCTTGCATATGTGCGGACTGGTGGGTAGGGCATTGCATCACCACTTGAGCGACCCAGGCTTGATTCCAAGGCTTACACATCACTTACTTGAACCTGCACTGAACTCCGACAGGTTGACTCGACCTAAAATAAGTTGTCTCTTTTACGGTCAATATCGACAGTGGGGAAACAAGCATCTTGGACATAGTGCTGGCATTATTATTCCATCGTGTGCCATGTCAGCCTGAACCGGTGCTAAAGGCAGTTACTCCGACCGTATGATACGAGCACATATTTCTGATTGGTTTTGTTGTATGCGTTTGCCATAACTTTATGGGACGTGGCCGCTCAGCTGAAGGGTTATTTTCTCCCGTTCATATTTGGAAAAAAAATCAACTACACCAGACCACGAAGGGGGAAAACGATAAGTTAAAAATGCAAAGTTAGTTGCTCCTACGAGAGCAGTGTGAAATTACAAACTTTGGCAGCCGCCCGGCGTGGAATTGGCGATTTAGTAACGGACACTGCTCAACGCGACACGTACACCTTGACTGGGTGAGTGTGCCCACGTCTTTGCCAAGAGTATCTGCTATTTAAATCAGCCGATTAGAATGCATCGTAATACAACCATGCATACAATATTCACCGTCATTAAATGTGTTCAATATTTGTAATTATATTACCTAAATGTTAACTTCTAAATAAGCCACAACTACCATATTTTCATAGATCACTCTTCATTGTGTCACACAAATAAGTGTTTGTAATGTATTTTGATTTTTGTTTACATTTCGTCATCAGACGATCCACGTTTGGTTGCAGGCTTCTCTCATGAATCACCATTCTTTACGATCCCGTGATGCTATAATCCTCGATGCTGTCTCTGCACATGAGCTGATCTGATCTCTCCATCTCCATGGCAGTCTTTCTATCGGGCGTTCAATTTGTTTGGCTGCTATTCTGCCACCAATCTCATCCATAAGACATCATGCCTTCAAAGCACGCTTATTTATAACTTTAAACTTTCGTGACTGCAGGAATTAATATTCGTGATTCTTTCGGTAAAGTCACGGAGATAGAAAAGAAATAAAATAATAAATAAAATAAAATTTAAAATAATCAATTGAAAATAATAAAAGCAAAAAAACACGTAAAAAATAGAAATGTAATTCAAAATAAACTGAAAATAATAAAAGCAAAAAAACCACGACGTTTCGATCGCAACACAAGCGGTCTTGATCAGGCGGAGAGAAAAGAGGGGGCAAGCCTCCAAATGTAGCTGCTTATAAGGGTTCCAAAGTGAGTGGGACGGGGGACGAGAGTTGCGCAAGCAGCACGCTAATGCAGGAGCACAACAAAGGGGGCGTTGGGAGGAGGTGAGCCTGTACAGCGCAAACAGCGTGGACGGGGCAGCCAGTCAGCCAGCGCTCATGTCGGAGCAGACAATGGGGGAGGAACGGAGCAGATACAGGAAGAGAGGGGAGTAGAGATTGGGGGGGACATTGCACCTTGCTACACACATCCACACTGCTGACGGTAGAGGTTGACAAGAAAACACAAATCAAGTCATGACCCGAAGTGGTTGATGACATCTTTCCAATGATTGCTGAGTTAATTACCGTCGTCTCGGTTGAAATTGTCTGTCTGTGTCTGCATATATGAATGGCTTCGTGAACGAATCTTTGTTGATAGCCAGTCGGCTTGCAAAGTAACATCGTCTTAGAGAAATACATTTCATGTGAGCCAGCCGCATTAAAGTAATGATCAGCCACGGCAGAAGTATTGGTCCTGTCCGTGTTTCAGATCTGCCTTATGTATCATGAACACGGTCCGAAACATGTCGTTTAGTTTCCCCAATGTAACTGCTGCCGCAGATACAGCTTAGTTTGCAGACGCCGGGATATTGCATGTCAGGAATCTTGTCCTTCACAAATGGGATCAGGTCACGAATTTTATGCAGTGTTAAATCGGACCTGGATCTTGTGTTTGTTCAAGATTTTTGAAAGCTTTTTGGTTATCCCTGCTATGTAAGGCAAGGTGATGGGTTTGATTTGATCTTCAGATGGCTCCTTCCTAATGGTTGGAGTGATGGCTTTTTGCGGATTGTGTAGTCAGAATATACATTCGCCTTGAGAGCCTGGTGTACGTGTTTGAGTGAATCTTTGTCCCTTAGTGCAATTCTAATGAGCTATTTTATGCCCCTTTGCACGATTCAGATTGTTCAAATTTCTGTCTGTTTTTAATCCATGTGTCGTAAAAGGTATCGTATACAATTCTGGAAAAGTTTCCTCCTTCGGCACAAGATTAGTGCTGGATATAACTACATTTGCCAATGTGATTTGTTAATTTGATCCTTACCCATCTATCAAGTTACATTTTAATGTACAATTTTATTCAGGGAGTGCTTTTGTTGCCGTGTTGACTTTCCCAAGCTAAAAATCTTGACTTAAAGCTTTCGTGACTGCAGGAATTCATATTCTTTGGGTCTTTCGGTAAAGTCACGTAGATAGGTTCAAAGAAAACAACTAAAAACTACGACGTGGCAGCCCTTTAATTGGTGGAAGCCCACCCCACCGGGACCATCACTGCCCTCGACTACCATGACCACTAGCAGTAGCCCTTCATTGGTGGAAGCCCACTCACTACTCGTGCCCCTCTACGAGTAGCATCACCCCAAGCAGAAACCTCCACCGTCAATAGTGTGTGTAAAGCGAGGTGCAATGATTACTCAGCAGCCTCTTCTTGGTTCTTTCGGTAAAGTCAAGTAGAAGGGAAATAATACAATTATAAAAATAAAACATAATAAAATAATTCACACGTTTCGGCCGCTGCTAATCCTGCATAATGCACGGGCATAATGACTTTGAAACCCCCCGCCCACCTCCTACGCATTCCACAAGTAGTGACTAATCCCATATCTGCATTTCCCATAAATGTGCTAAATTCATCTTGATATGGAAATTCCTTTGTCAAGGCGCTCTTCCCTCTCCAACCCAGCTTAAATATACGCTGCCAAGCCTAGTGGTGTTCATTCAGACGTTGTCTTTCCGACAGACCTGTTCTTCACCTGAGGACGGCTGCTTGCGTTGTGGCCGAAACGTCGTGAGAATTATTTAATAGTTTAATTTTTATTATTTTATTATTTCCCTTGTACGTGACTTTACCGAAAGAACCAAGATGAATCCCTGCAGTCACGAAAGCTTTAAATCGAAACTCAGCAGCCCTTTAATTGGTGGAAACCCACCACCAGCGCGGTGGATGCCCTCTACGAGTACCATCACTGACATTAACATTAGCTGCCCCGCCTATGCTGCTGACACTTGGGCTACGCCCATTTAAAACCTTTATAAACAGTTTGCCTTTAGAGGCTAACACCCTTTTCCTGATGACAACCGCTTGTGTTGCGATCGAAACGTCGTGGTTTTTTATTTTCTTTGAACCTATCTACGTGACTTTACCGAAAGACCCACAGATAACGATTTCCCAAGCTTGTATTGTGCAGAAAATTCGCAGGAATGTATGCACTTACGCGATTTGTACTTATATACTTTACTTATTTGTATTATTTTTAGTGGCTTACTTTTTCTATAATTTGCACTCCTGTAGTTTTTTGGTATTGGTTGTTGTTGTAACTTGCCGACCCGCCCCTACTGAACGTCTGTGAAAGAGTTTCATAGCTTTTTGGCATCCTCAAGGATAAATAAAGATTTTGATTCTGATCATCAAATTCAGTTTTGGAAAAGCACTCCACCATGCTTGCCTTTTTCATATTCGGATTCCATTCGCTTTGATAATTTCCCTGCGTATGTATTGGTGCTGACAATTTAACGCACGTAACATTTTAGCGCAAAAACACAAGACACACAAGTTACTTTTGTTAGGTTTTATTGAAATATGTAAATATTTAGCAATTAAGCGCTTTAATTTTAACCTTGGTGCGCAGCAGAAAACTTCACGACCGACAAGTTATTAAATGCTTAGGTCAAGTGTTTACAGTATACATTAAGATTCCAAAAAACAACACTTTCCATTCTACTACTCAGGCACTAATAAGCCATTTGGACAAATACCGGTTTGGTCACCAGAAGTGAAATCAAAAGTCAACGCATCTACAACCCAATAAACAAACTTGTCGTCCAGATTTTTTGCCATTACATTAAACCAATACTCATTTCACACATTATCATTGAGAGACAGCTTAAGCTGTGTGTAATTCCAATAAATATTTACAGCATTAGAGTGAGAAGTGCATAAAAGTTGAGTTTTAGTATATTATTGACTAAATTTAATGTACTGTAGTCTATATTCATTATGCCTTTTAAACGTTAACGGATTACCTACAACAATTTACATTTACAACAATGTATAAATAGAAACTTTATAGCACACAGCCAAATTCGGTTGACTTACAACTTAGTAATGTAATTAAAAAACCCAATTTAGACATTTTTCTACCTGATGCATTCCGTTGCCTAATTACAAAATTATACAAAGGAGCACATTAACAGATGCTCCATAGTTAGCAAAACAAACTTGCTTCGACGCAGTAAACACACATACATTCTTTTGATGCACTTTTCGCAAAATGGTACATTTGAATTCACCATTTAACAAAATGTAACCTAAACACCGGTCAATACGCGTGAACCCTGAAATTCCCATCCCGACCTCTGACCTGACATCAGCTCTCCACCATAACCCATTTCTCCATGTACTCAATTCCACATCCCCACAAAAAATATAATTAAATCTGATGCAACTGCAATAATTCAGACCAGGAAGTTTAAGAACAGTTTTTGTAAAACAGAGGTTAGGATCGTTTCAATAGCCAGGTGTTTTGATACAAATTGCTGTACATTATACCCAGTTCATATAACTATGATTTTATTAAATTGAGCGGACTAAAACCTGTTTAAAGGTAATGTCATGGGGAGGAAATGGCCTTAATGCTCCAATGTAAAGAAGCCTATTGGCTTTTTGTAACATGCTACATCGGTGATAAAGTATATGTGACGACAATTTAACATACTGCAGAGTATATGGTGATAGGTTACATTATTCATCAGTAGTATGATTTAACCAAGTACCCTGGTAAAGAAAGCATAGCCACTAAATAATATTTTAATTTAAACAGGCATGATCTACTATCTAAAGCCATAACGTGCCAATGTGAAGACATAGCTCTATATGAGGGCATTGTCATTGAGGATGAGACAAGTCTTTACATCTGCAGGCAGGCATTTCAGTGGCAACATGGCACCAACGAGCCCCCACCACAAAGTTAACTCTACCACCTCTATAACATTACCTTAGCCACTGTGGCCAATTTGAGATCTCACGACTTAATATTGAGATAGAATCTGAGAAAATATGGCTCCGGCATTAACAAGCAAAAAAGCAAGTAGTTGATGTGTACATTTAACAGAAATTAGTACATGTACAATCTAAAAGGCCATGCACCTTACTATAATCTCATTAATGTTTTTTTTTTAACAATTGGGAATTTTTTTTGTTTAAATGAAAGATAAAACCAATTTCTGGACATAAATGTAATGTATGCAGGAAGCATTACTGAAGGGGAACAAACAGCACACGTTGAGACAGCAAACGATTAAAACTTTAAGTGGAACGCATCACAAATGGTCAAGCATACATTACACGACAACACGGCAATGACACACACAACGCAGCTAAAATCTCAACGCTTTTTTGCCAACGTTTATATGGACCAAGCAATTATTACTGCATAAATTCTTATATTTAATTAGACTAGGCATTATATGGCATGCATCATTAGACTAGCTAATAATTTCTAAATAAAAATGATTCAGAAGTTATTTCATAGCCTTGCAAGATCCCCGATCACATTCAATGAACTGACTAATTAGTTTTTTTTTACATTTTCCTCAAATTAAATAATCCGTTAACTTCATGGCAAACTTAAACATTAGTCATATTTTAAAATTGTATACTGTATTGTATTTGAATAAATGCATATTGTTGATTCTAAGAGTACAGTACTCGCTTATCATTAAATAGGTGTGCAACAAAAAGAATACATCATCAACATTATATCAATGCCCGATAACAACAGTGACTTGAAATTGTCAAACACATTCGATTTCGTGTCTGCAAATGAATGACAGTGCGTCATCGAAGCAAGGGCAACTTCAGTATATTTAACAAACTCATATTTTTACTTCAGCACAGAACAAATGGTGCTTTCACTCCTCATGATACTCAACTACGGTGCACACAGTCATCGACACTGCTTGTGACAACTTCATAATCATTCTGTTATTTTATATTTTAAAGACAAAATGGATCTTTTCCGTACAAATCTGCACACTCGATCAGGACTGGCCTAAACACTGTTGTAGAATTGCTTGAAGAACGGCTGAAGAGTTGAGTTGATAATAAGGTCCGGTTGGTTTTAATAGGTCATGTTGACTGCTTCAATGGAAGGCTGGAAGATATTCCTTGCGAAGATGCTCAGTACGGACTGCTTAAAATGAACATAAGCTACAGCTGATTTATCGAGCAATATACTTTCATCTTAACAAACCACTCCTTAAATAATCCACTCAAAAGCCACAGCACCTGGATATAACGTAGATTAATTAAATGGCATTATTGTTATTGAAAATATTACAACACATTTTGGAGTTTATCTGAAAGAGTTCTCAATGAGAGATGTGATGATTATACAGCTGGTGTACAAAAAGTAGGTTAAATAAACATAAAACAAATTAAAATTAAACAATAAAAATGATGCCTGAAATTGGACCCCCATTACAGCTAAAATACAGATGACCCATTATGTGCAGATGCGTACAACATGACTGTTGCTTTTTAGAAACCCTTTCAAATTCACAAGTGTTTCCCCCAGTAGCTTTCGCTACATATATAACACAAAAGCATAGATTTCAAACTAACTTAAATGGTAACTCCTAACATATCCACAACTGAAAAAGCACGCTTAACCTCTATTGTAAAGTCTTTCTTACAAACAACCTCATGCTATAACACAAAAAACACAGCTATCCAGCCACAAGTTCACTCCGAGTCATATCCCTGCCATGGAAATGGGTTATTGTTTTTCTATTTGTTCATATAAAGTATGGATTGACTGATAATTATTTTGCATTAATGTACAGTCCTTTGTCAATCCACTTCTGAATGAAAACCTTTGCACACTCAGCCATAGGGGGTTGTTTGACCATACTTCACCACACTAGTCAGAATTCAGATATCACATGCCACCAATGTTGGTTGTGGCCAAGAAACGAACTCGGCGCAATGTGCTAACCACATTGGGGTTGTGGTCACATTAAAATTGTCTATTCAAGAGATAGACGTCTAAATTGCTGGCACTGAGTAAGAATTCCAATATGTTTCGGTGAGAAAGAACTGGATGCACTTGCATGTGCCAACTGTGCCATTTTACACCTTGAACTGGCAGCATCTTACATCAATTTATACACAAGCTAGCGAGAGCCATCGCAATTTGGCTGCTCGGCACTCCTAAGGAACTCGATTTTGCGTAAAATGTTCATTTTCACACTGGCTTGCACAAGTTATGGTACAGGACCTCTTTGATTTGACATCCAAAAGTGCCCCTTTGAAAACCCTCAAGCACTTTCACTGCCCAAATGTTCAAAATTGCAGTGAGTAGCCAGGCGTTACAGCTGGGATGGCAAAAAAAGTGTTCACGTTAGCTCGCTTATCCCGGTTGGATGAAAGAGAGTCACAGCGCGTGTCCACTTACCCAGCTCCACCCTCTCAAGTGTCGCCTCTCGTTCATGGCAAGTGTTGAAAAAAACCCACCTCATAAACAAAGACTTAATCCATAACAACAACAACACACATTCCATAGCTAAGGGCTGTTGCATGAGGAAAAGTCTATTGGATGTTCTGTCCGCAAACTGTTTACAACTTTTGATGTCTATTGGCCCAGTATAGGAGTGCTGGCAGGCAATGGCATTTAACAAAGTTTGCTGGTTTTTTCTGCCAGAGGCTTATATTAAGCTGTCCCCAACAGAGATGCAGTGTACATTCAAGCAGAGTTACTGGCTGTGTACCAAGTAATTTGGTTAGAATATGAATGAGTATAAAGGAAATCCACTCTCCCTGTCGCCCTCCCACCAATGTGGCTAAGGATCGATTAAAAAAGTGAGCCTCCTCAGTTTCTCGATAGATGCTTGCATAAACTCAAATATCTATTATTAAATTAGTGTCAAGCAGGAACTTGGGTTGATAGAACATCCATTCATTACTTTCCATCATCAATATTCATCCAGTAGAAAAAACACCCATCCATATCTTACCGCCTATCCTTCTCAGGTGTGCCAAGTGCTTCAGATTCAAGTAATTCTCTAGCCTAACAGGCAGCACTAACTGTAAGTTAAGAACACACGACTTGAGAAAATTGTGGAGACACACAGATGTTTAGCCATGGGCACAAAACTATACTCTGGAGATGTAGGGCCTAGCTTTTTTGACTTTGTAAATGCCTTTTCTATGGGTTGTGGGGACCTTTTTACTCAAACTACTTTGAAACACCTAAGCATTGCACGTGGCAAAGTGGCATTTTTCCCTCCAAAATGAAGAGATCAAGGTTTTCACGACAACAGAAAGTAATGGATGGTTAAGCAAGGGATGGAATTAAACTCTACCTCAAATTAGCAAAGAGTGTCAAGACATTTTTTAAAATAGTCCACTTTTATGCAGTCCAGTGATGTTAATGCAGCATGCATGGACAAGCATTACGGAACGATGTTGGCAGTGATGTATAAGCACATATAACATGAAAACACCTCGCCAAATTTATAATTAATACTGCCCTTTAAACAAAAGAAAATGTGGTTGTTGTTTTTTTTTTGTACTACATTACTTTAAACCAAAAGGTTTTAGTTTAGTAAGTTTAGAAAAAATATCACATCTTTCAAACATTACAAAACTGTACAACATAACTTCGATAAGAAGACACCGAAGCCTGTATGAATCCTAGAATGCCTTAGATACGAATATCCTGATGCTCTTACCCGGGGGCAAGCCAACAGCAATCTTTGAAAAAAACCCAGTCAACTCTTTGCTAATCATAACAAAGTTTAATTCCTTTTCTCTAGAGGCACTTATATATTTTAAAATACTGAGAGTATGGTTGCCAATAGGATTTGGATAAACTTAATCTGGGATTCAAGAGCAATTTTTGTATGTTTTCATCTCAGTCTATGAAGACCAGACTAATCCTCTCAAGTGGGTGCCGATTATGACATTTTAAAACTGAATGCCACATGTCACCAAGATGCTAGCACAAAGCAAATGATGTAAAACGGTCCGAACACGACACTCAATACCAACACGATGAGGTTTCACCAAAGTGTGACCATCTTAGCCATGTGTAGGCATTTACAAATAAGATTTTGTAAGAAGTCATTTAACAAATGCACCTCACAAAGTGGCTTCAAAAGGCAGTCTAAAACATTTCAACCAGGCAGCCCTCTGTAATCAAGCAATTGTTTGTGTTTGAACCAAACAGGAAGAGCTCTTCTAGTCTCTCTTTGGTGACAACTCTCAACTCTGTTGTTGATGCTGAAACTGGATAACACATGAATTCAGCACACTGCAGGCATCTTATTTCACCCGACATCATTATAGGATAGGGCACCGTTTCATACTTGTCCCTGTGTTGCCAAAATGTTATCAAAATAATAGCTTTACATCAAAACTTTATCTATTTATATATGTATATACGCATCCTAGTGGGTCATACCATAAAGTGTGAGACAGCGGTTCAAAATAAGCCACTTGGTTCATGTTCCAAGAAGAAATATGGTCGACGTGCTCAAACCTCCGCAAGTGGCTATCGCTAAACGTATTCACATATTGCACTCGCACCCATTCAACGTGGCACCTGCTTTTACATCGGTGGGCGCTCGACACGGCCGCACTAGCACCGGCGCCGGCTGCATGTCAACGCAGACGGACACGGCGGGTCTTGGCGTGCGAGCGCACGAGTGGCGACCCGTGCTTACAGGATGACGCACTTGCTCTTATCCTCCTGCCTCCGGGGCCGTCTTTCCCGCTCCGCGCTGCCAGCCGCCGGCGTTGAGCGGTTCTCGCCAGGGGAGGGTGGCTGCTGCTGTTGCCTCTGTTGCGGTTGCTGCGGAAGGTGAGAGATGAATGGATATTGGCACAAATGATGCTGTCATCTGAACTATCCAGCAATGATGCCCGACTGAAGCTACATTGACGACCGTTCCTTATCAGGCCAGGCGACACTATGGTTTGAGCACTTGACTTACATTTGAAAGCTTGACAGTTTGTTTGCATGCGAGGGGGTCGACAGCCTATCAGCTATCCAGGGTTGATAAAATTAGTAAAAAGTCAACAGTGGTTGGCCTCGAGAGAGATGAGCCTGAACAGAAATATGGCATTTTCGACACTGGCTCGGGACCAACAACGGTTATGAGCACTGCTCAAAATAACATGTTAGTTAATGGAACATCTCAGGGGCATTATGCAAGTGTTGGACAGCCTGCTGACTGTAGTTCTTGCCAAATTATGTTTTCAAACAACTCGGCTGCTCACACTTCATTGAGTAATGTTCAAAATTGTTGACTAACAATGGTTATGAATGTTCATGAACTTATTTCATTGCATTTTCAAAAAACTTGGGAAATATAAATCAACATTTGGATGTTTCCAATGAGTTACATGTGAAAAGCTGTAAAAATGTTTACGTCCATCACTAGCCTTCTTTACATTTTGTCGTGGCATTTTGATCACTCCTAAGCAACCATACAGGCCACCAACTAAAGCTGGGCCTGTCCACGACATGAAATAAATGTGGTTTATTTTTTTGGAGAGAAGTTTATTTGAATCCGAAAACTTTTTTCAGGAGGATCCTCCTTTGGGATGTTTGACCATTTCCTTTTTTAAATGCTCATTTTGCATGTGAAAGACTGACTGTCGTGCCACGGCATGAATCCATGGATATGCAAAACTAATACTTTAAAAAGCTGCACAGACAGATCATAAACCCATGTGTTGTAATGCCATCTCCTGCCCATTTGAGCCCAGTGGATTTGGATGTCTTTTCAGTACAACATTTATTTACATTATTTATCAACCGTGCCTCAAGTGCTGGAAAATGGCTTTGTGTGCCACAACTGCCCCTGTACCTGGGGCGGTTGCGGTGGCTGCTGTGGTTGCTGCTGTCGCTCCTGCTCCTGGAAGTACTGCGCCGCACGCAAATTCTCCTCTTCCTGGAGCCGCTTGGCCAGATCGAGGTCACTCTCCGCAGCTGGCAGTTCACTGCCACCCTGTTCTTGCTGCAGGGACAGTGCCACCAAATAATCCTGCGGTAAATAAAAAACAAGATGCAGTTAATTAATCAAGAAACACATTACCACCAGTCCTTGTTCCAAACCTGTTTTTTTCACTTAACACAGTACCAGGTGGTGTAGCGATTAAATCACTTAACAATCACAAGGTTCATCATCAGCCGCGATGTATCAAATGCTGGTTAAAGCATCACCGTGCAATTGCCACCCCTCATTGGCTTATGATGCCACTATAATCTCGCTCCTACACACGAGATGTGCTCATTGCTCCATCTCCATGGTGGTCATGCTCTAATCTGTGTTCCCTCCATTGTTTCTGTCCTTATCCCTATAACTGATGTGCCCTAACTAAGACTGTTTACCTTAAGAAATAGTCAATGATGTCAAATTTATATTTGTTCTCTAACCCACGTGTTTTTGTCTTTCAGGGTAATTCCCTGCACGTATCTCTCCATATTTTTCATCCTTTGTAGCATTGTTTTTCCATTTTCCCAGCATCCAGGTTGAAAATTCAATATATGGTCTGTGATCTGCTCAGCAAATCAATCCTCTTGAATCACAAGAGCAGAACTTTGTGGGATGTTAACTGTGGTTGTCCTAGGCATAGATTGGTTCCCGCCATAAGAATTTGCAATGTCCATCACTTGCTCCGAGGACACCAATTGCTCTTTTGAGCAGGGCAACACTTGATTATATTAATTGTTCAGGAATTTAAAAGTCTGAGTTAGATGTTAAGCACATTTTTCCAAAATCCATTCCTCGCACATCCATAACATGGCCACGGTTTCCATTTTTATCAATAATTAAATTCAAGCAGTGTATCTCTTAATTTTGTCTGCATGGCTTAAACCCAAACTCCTGCAAACGTGCCTAATTTAAATTACTGTTGCTGAGCACAGGTACAAACCACCAATTGGTCGGCAATAAACAGCACAAATGAAGGTGTAATAGAAAAGGTTAGGACATTGGTTGATTTGAGCAAGGATTTAAGGAACTTGTGAAAAAAGACGATGTGACGGAATTCCAAAGTCGAGCAGTGCTAGAAAAAAAGTAACCAACAAGTACGCTTTAGTTATTTCGGTAAAGTCATGTAGGTATAAATAAATAAGTATATTTAAATACAAAACAGAATCAAAATAAATCAAATCACGACGTTTCGGAAGCACCTGATGACGGAGGCTTGTGTTGCTTCCGAAATGTCGTGATTTGATTTATTTTGATTCTGTTTTTTATTTTATACCTACGTGACTTTACCGAAAGAACTAAAGAGTATGGATCATTGCAGTCACGAAAACTTAAGATTTAACCAACAAGTGTTTCACCCTGCTGTGTGGTGGATGAACTTAGTATTTGTCCATGCAGCGCTTGTCCATGTGTGCATTCTGTTCGCCCACGGTAGACAAACCTGATCAATCTGCTCCTGGTTGACTCCAGCAGGGAACAGGTTTGCGGGGTCTGACGGTGGGCGCAAGTTAAAGTCGGAGTCGCAAAAGTTTCCATCGCCATCCACACTGTGCAGGCTTTCCCACACCACCGACTCCTCTGTCAAAAAGCCCTGGTCTGTTACCAGCAGGAAGAGCTGCCCCTGAGTCCAGCAACACATGCACACACACAAGAGTCAAAAACACAGGAAAAAGGATTATACACATCCAAAAAAATACATGCTTAGCTCAGAATGGCTATGAGTGTTGGCTCAAATAGCTGATTTTATAAGAAAAACGATGCAATTAATACTTAATGGTGGGCTTTGGGGTAAACCAAAAGGCGTGCAGAATAAAATATATTCGTGTATTTATTATTGCTATATGGGAGAACGTCTCGTTCGCAATGCACGATGACTTAATTTACTAGGGCTGGACCATTTTAATATTTTTGTTCAAAAGCACTTAAAATCAATGCCGATTTAACTGCATCTGCCATGAAACATAAACAAGTATGATCAGCCACATGCAGCCGTGTGTAAAACATGCAGTGTTTTTGTTATGATTAGCAAATGGTAATTTCCCACAAATTACTGCCAATGACAAACAATTTAACGATTTGTGATGGACAACTGTTAATTTGAGACCTTCACAAATCACCAAGGATACTGGTTAAATTTTCGAAGCACGAATCAACGGCAGGAGCCTATTAAATATTACGTTCACATATACTTAGCAAGGAAAGCTGATAAATGTATTTGGTTGGGTATGCCTGTGTCTGCCTACCACAGGAGTTTCTTCATTATGTGACATTTGTGTCCTAAAAAGTTATCGTTGAAAACAATCTCTGGTGACTTTTTAAAGAGCAAATTGAAAATGTGCCACATTGGAATACGCAGGCAGGCTATTAGTAGGCATGCAATACAATTTTCAAAAACACTCTAATTGCGTGACTTATGCCAAATATCAGTTTAAGGACTCATGGGTTTTAAATGTTTTTGTCAAATTATTTTTGAGAATACAATTTGGCTACTGCCAAATGACCTTTCAACATATTTTGTTAAGAATGCTCAAAGGCTAAGTACATGATGTTGCTGCAGGGCACGGACATGTTTTGTTGGCAATGAAGACAAGCGTATGGTACATTGCTATTGGTCCATTGCTAGACAAGTTTTTCATGTCTCATGTGCTGTTATCTAAATATTGTGCAATCTTTTTCTGGCTTCTTGCTGTAAAAATAACATAGTTCCCAAAAACACAAGTCTGATTTCCGGTTGTTTTAACCGTGGCTTTGATGCTATGTGTGAGCAGCCAATATAATGCAGATGCAAGGTAACGATTTTTATAGAAACAGTATAATCATTGACACTACCTTAAAAGGTGGTATTTCAGGCGAGTTGTTGAATTATAACTACGAAAAGAAAGCAATTGGTTTTGATGCCCAGAAATGCTTGTCAATGAAATTTAACTCTGATCCTTTTGGAAAGTCTAAATGAAATGATGACAAGAGCCTTGGAGCCAACATCAGTGAAAAGTGAATGCCAATAATTTCTGAAAGCGAATGCCAATAACAATGCGTGTGCATGCGATTGTGTGGCAAGCGGTCCAAACATAACAAATTATTTGATCCTGTGGTTGGCAGTGGTGCAAACTAACAAGCACCCTCACAATTATGAACAATGTTCCAGGTAATGGTTCTTCTATGTCACACATAGTGAGGGCCAGATAGAGATGTCATTATCACCAGAACCCCATGGTGTTAAGTGCGGTCTCCTACGCTCATCACCTCTCTCCGGTCTCTTGATGTGCTACGAAGGGCCCATTGCCTTAAACGTCACCTATTATACATTTCTTCAGTTTGAAACTCCACATGACAAAACAACCAATGTACCCATGAAGATGTTCAATTAAATTAGGCACCTTATGCTTGTAGATGGTGCTGAAGTGATTGTTTCGAAAGAAGACACAGATCTCTGCCTCTTTGACATGAATGTTGAGCTCGCAGAGTCCATGATAAGTCAGCTGAGTGGCTGTGCTGTCCAGAAACAGCTCTGCCACCATTCCTGTGGGTGTTATGATGACATAAATATGCATGATGTTTGGAAGCCAACCAACACAATTTAAAGTATGCAATTAATTCAAGGCACGAGGGAGTGTATTCATATTTAGAAACGCATCGCTCCAGCCAATTATTCATAGTTTAATACTAGAATCCTTGAAAAATGAAACGAAACAGAATAATGTACAACTAGAAAAGCATATTCTGAAAATCGCTAAGGCTACCAAGACAAGAAATTAAATAACGGACCAACGCTCAGTAGCTCTTTAATGTGTATAGAGCATAAATGGAATCAAACATCGCATAATGGAAATGAAAATATTAAATCACTGAAAGATCATAGTCTGTAAAAAGTTTTTGTTACTATGCATATAAAGCAATACATTTTCTGACAGTGTACTAAATAAACATGCATCTCTCTGATGGTATATAATTCAAACTGCCATATTTCCACATCATACCCACCTCTGCCATACTGTACCATCCTGTCATCAATTTAGAGCCATTACAAAGCATTGCAACACATTCCACGGCACGCCAACGCTACAGCTTTCCAACGTAGGTCAAGTGGCTGCAATTACAACTTATTTATATACGTCATTTGTCTCATTAGTTTCTTAATTCGGCAAGCATTTCTGTAATTTATCCAAAGTGTTATTTTTATTTTTACTAGCAAAGTCTCTTTGGCAGTACAGTTAACGCTATCTCATCCTGTTTTAACTTCTCTAAATAAGTAATCATGGAGATGGAATGAGCATGTGCAGTACAACAAGTTATGTAAATGTTTGATTTACTTTCCTCCCATCATGTGGGAACCATACTAAATTGGCAGATGGTCAACACTCAGCATGTAGTGAAGTCACGAGGTCTGTGTGGGTCTGGTTACAAAATATTATTCCAGGGGTGGGGCCCTTTCCAGAGTTTCTGTTGAATGCATTTGGCAGTATGGGTTTAACAGTGTTATTCGCCCAAGAAAATTGAAAACAATTCGAGATTAAATTTCTGATACCTACCAATAGATATGCAGACAATAATTCTCCTTCACAAATATGTCTCTCCACTAAAGAAAGGTATTTTAAGACACAACCCATCAATCAGCCAAACGCATACCACCAATGAAGAAGATTAGTGACAGACTTGCAGACAGTTGTGTTTAAAAATAGCCACTACTGACAAGGCAACTGCAGTAAAACTGGTTTTAAAGACACTTCAGGCCCAATGCAGGAGCACATTATCAAAAACTACACGTGATGGCAACGTGCTCCTGCAGTTTAATTTCGCAGTTTTACACCACAATGCATGGCAACAGATTTACCACGTACAGTACTATGCAGTACTTTATTTATCTACTTTTAATGTTCATGAAGCTCATTACAATGCACGTTTTCCCACTAAACTAGGCAGAGTTATGACCACTCTCCTTCAGTCAGCCACCAAGGTTAGCAACAGCCAAGCATTGTCAGCACAGCGAGAAACAATTCTTGAGCACAGCTGGGAGTTACTTTGGATTTTTTTCATTTGAATAATATCAAAAGTTATGACAACAGAAAAAAACTAGACTTGTGTTGTACAGACCATCATTCTGTATTCTTTATTTTTACATTGAGAACATAGCTGTAATCTGCTATGCCACATCTGTGGGACTACCTAATTAGCAATGTATATTCGTAGTGTGTGTAGGAATAGCCCTAATAATACAGAACTACTTCACTCTGTACCACTGTGTGCAGCATACAAAGCATTAACTCAGCCTTAGGGGCAGTGGTAAGATGAAGGATTAATTTAAGCAAACTGCTCTTTGGATCAATACTTGCTACAAGGGCCAGACAGGGGAGATGGCCGCTTGTTTTTGCATTCCATGCAAAGGGTAGAACTTACTGAATACAAATTTTCATCTGCTCCAAAACACTTTTTTGAGTAATGTAAAATTTATGTATAGGCAGATTTCCATATCTAAAAGAAGGACATTATGTAAGTTGCACACGGTTTAAAAGCCACTGCCAAGGCCATTTTATCTCGAGCTAGGGGCACATGCTCAGTGTTCCGAATCCATGCTTTCCAGAACCTTATTGGCTGCATTGTAATTAGCTGGAGGCAAGAGGCAAAACATAACAACAAAAACAAGCCTTAGGTGTCCGCACAGCCAATATAAACACAAAGACCTTAATCACAATCAGCATTGTGTTACGGTATTTGTTACATTGGAGCTTGCGGCTCTGTTGTTTTCTAAAGTGCCTACCATTAACACGCACGTTGTTGATGTTTTTGCAATTCGCAGCCAGAGTGCCTTCATTATACTGTTGCTCCTGACAACCAAGGTCAGTTAGGGCAATGGAGTAGTGTTTATCACTTACCCTCACTGAACTCTTCGCTGTTTTGCGACTGTTTGCTGGAGATTATTTTTTCAACCAGTTGGTTATAGCTGCACTTGCCCACCGCCTTGACCACATCAGAATTCTGGAGGAAGAGAAAGCCTTCTTTCACTGAATCACATCAATTAAACATCCTTAATTGCACTACGACTATTAAAAGGCTGGCTGTGTACAACATTAAATATAAACCCACTGCTTGGCCAATACTAGGAATAAGTAGATATAAATAACTGAGAAATATCAAGCAACAGAGTTTTATCTAAAAATACAAAACTCCAAAAATAACAGCTTGTTGTGATATGCAAATATATCGCCAATACACAAAAGCTATAGTAAAATATAATTGGTATTATTTCCATATATCAGAAGGACCACATACAAAAACTCAAAAGTTGATGTGGTTTATGTCTTTCATTCCTCCCAATGATGAAAATGGGATGCTTACCTGTGGGTCGACCAACCAGCCATGGTATAGAGGCAGGCCCAGCAGGTCAAACACAATGCATTCGGGAGTGTACTCAAAATCCGCCACGCCCGTGAACCGCACGTTGACATCCAGCCCTGTCTGTAGCTTGTGCATTATGGTCATGGCATCGCTGATGTTCTGTAGACACACGTGTACGCACAGGAGAAAACGATCCTTCTTTCAGTCTTGGCAGGCAGTGGGGATAATTACTGCTCAAGTTCTAACAAGTATTGGGGTGATGAGTATTTCCTTCAGAGAGACATGGCAAGAAATTCCACATTACCATGGTGGAGGCCAGTCTCTCTATTGGATGACAACTTTTCAAAGTAGTACTCATTTTACTTACCTCGAAAAGATAAGAGAGGCCAGGCAGGCTAATTCGAACTTCGAGCAGAATTTCAACCATCAGTTTAATATGCAGTCAGCCAGGTAAATAAATTAGGTTCAGTACCTGTTAAGATATTAAGACAGAGTTTTAAGTGTGGACAGCACCATGCCTAGCTACCTGTGTCCCCTGAATGCTGATAACGGACCAGGTACTCCTTCGAAGCAGAGGCCAGCTAATGGAGTCCCAGTATAGGTTCAGATATCCAATTCCACCTGTGCTGTGAAGTTATGCATGGCGAGAAATCGTACCAAGGTCATTACGAATCTATAACGAAGTTGACTTGTGGAACCCTTTCCCACTTACATTTTATTTAGAAAAGACATTTCACAACAATAACAAAACTCAAAGTTCAAACTCAGGTATACGTGCCAGGAATGAAAAGTAATTGAGCACCAATGCACGTTACACTCACGTATTGCAGTAAAATAGCCAAGCACAATTGACATGGCCTTGTGGTCACGCATTCACCAATTGGTGCAGAGGTTCACGGTTTTAATCTAGCGGCTGCTCTGATTAAAACTGCGTGTGTATTAAACCCAAAAATAAATTCCGTCTGCTTCACAGTGGACGTTGGAAAGCCTGCAACGTCATTTTGAGGAGTAGGCCATCATGTGCCGACGTCATGGTCCAGATTTACCATATTTGAAAAAAAATCGCATAAATCATTTGATTGAAATAAGACATACATAGCAATCATCGTCCCATGCTGCGAAAACTTGGCAAGACCCTCCAGAGAAAGAGTCATAAGGCTCACGTATGTATGCATGTATGCTGAACTTATTTTGCACCATATGTAACCAACCATGCTAATCAGGTGCGGGGGAAGGACAACTAAACAAAGCAGTTTGAGGCTGTCCTGACTGAGGCTGTCCTGTGTAAACAAGCATAATAATACTATTAAAGCGTTTATAATACAATTTAGCATGACCTATATAAACCCAGCAATGGAATTTGCATGCTGGAGAGAGTGTAGTGCTGAGTACAGTGTTCCAATATCAAACAATATATATTTCAGAGGTAGCATGGCAATGCATTATGGCCAAATTCATATCCATGAGGAAGACAATTGCACCTTTGCTTTTGGAAACACCATTCAACTGTAATTGCCGGGTGGGATCTGGAAAAGGCAACTTAGTAGTATCACAGTTGAAAACTGCAGTCAAAAGGCTTAGTTCAAGGACAAAATGTAGGTCCCACAGACAACTTGAAGATCATAATCAACAACTTTTGAGTGACCTTCACATAGTGCTTTCATAAGCTAAGTTCAGAGATGTGGCATTTAAGCGTGTACATTGCAAAGCATATATAGTGTAACAAAATGTGTACTCACTTTTATGCAAATTAAAATTAAGGGTTATCATTATAAATCAATGGTGTAATTACATAATTCTTGTATTGCTTTTTGACTCGGATGTCACTTGAAAGAGTTTTTGCGTCAAAAATTGTAAAAAAAAACATGACTTCATGCAATTTATTTAAAAAAACTATATCTCCAAGCAATACCGTGCCATCACTCTTCAAGTGTCATAAAGTGATTCAGATTGTGCGCAAACGTAATGCACACGTGTTAACCGGGTACCTTTACAACTAATGATCAATTGTTCCATCAGCACTTTAATGGATGAATGCAACTCCAGTTTCAATGGCCTATTAACTCTGTAATGAGGCTACATCTCCGAACCATTTAAATGTCTCTTGCAATTGCCTCCAGTCACTTGGGAGGCATGCATGCTAATGTATGCAATGTAACGTGTACACAAATAACGGCAGATTTTTTTTCCAAGTGATTTCAATGAGCCCACAAACACTTTAACAGGTGATAAAATGAGGACCACTTTGTGGGAGGTCGACTGTGGTCATTCTGTACACCTTGAATGACCCCCACCAAGGCCAGAAAATATTTAATTTTTATCACGGGTTCGGGGCCGGCCAGTGATCATTTGAGCAGAGACGCTGCCTTTTCAACTCCACACAATTATACAGAATAGCTTTCTTATTCTTGGTTTTCAAGGATTATTTTCCAGTTTGGCAAACTTCATGCTTCAATGTTCATTTCACATGCATAGCAAAGAGAAGCCAGGTTTTATTTTCCAGACACCACACAGCAGGTGTTTCCAATACAGGTAATTGAAAGATTGATTGCATTCGTGCAACCCATGTGGACTCAAAATTGAATCGTGCATTTGAATTTGTTACGGATGGTCAGCCATTTGATGCAGTTATAGCAAGTATTAAACTAAAGCACTATACACAAAAATTGTCAGCTGTTGGTGAAAATAACATCTAAATTATTCACACTTAAATCAAAAATGTGTCAAGCAGTGTGCATCTGTGCAATTATGGATATAATGTACTGGTTTATTTAGCCTCATTTAAATATCGGGCTGTATTCAAAGCCTTTGTTACAATGGTACATTTGCAATAACAGCTAAATCACAGATGCAATAGGAAATAGGGCAATCTGTAAGGTAAAAACATCTGGCATCATGACTCACTGCCATACTAGTTTACAATGTAACATAGCAAAGTGCCTGTCCTGTGTGTGACAATATAATTTTATATTTGCCTATTAGATCGTGACTTTCTTCCCCCACCCCGTATGTCAACTATTGCACAGGATGCATTTTAAATAGTTTATTAAGCGATTTACAAATAAAATTCTGTGCCAAGCGAGCTGCACAAATTGTTCTTTCGGGCACATAGGAACAATATCCCAGAAGCCAGCTCAGCATTACTATGAACATGATGAGGCCAACAATGCTGTTAGCCGGCTGCAGAATGGCAACTAGATATTCTGTCACAACATCAACTCACTCACATTTACCTGCTCATAATTGAGTCGCTGTGCCTCGGAAAATTCTTTTGGCATCGTTTCCAAGATGAAGTCACCTGCATAATGATAACAGGCATTAAACCGTCTCAACGACAATTGCTGTAGAACATTTAACGTTACTAAATTGTTCTTTCATAGAATATGCCTTGATGGTACTTCGTAGAAAAATTTGATGTAATAAATTAGTTTAATGCTGCGTCGCACGCTGAGAAAAAAATTGCAGCCACGATAAACACAAGCAACTAAATAGTTGTATTGAAATTCGGTTGAGAGGATGGTGAGATACAATAGCTCTTTCACAATGTACCATGACCTGCTATCACTAATAAAGGTCAGTAATGACATAAAGGTCAGTCATCGAAACTCCTTGTTCAAATATGCAATACAGCATTAATGATCTTCTTTGGTGCTCTGAGCCAGTGTTGAAAATTACACATTCCCTTAGCTGGGGCCAGTTTATCCATAGGTCAACCAGTGTTGGCTTCTCAAAGAATTGTACTCATTTTGTTTGTCCTAGAGGAATTCATAAGCAGTGTCAATCTCAATAGGGATTTGCACTTGTAACCTTCAGAAAATGTTAAATGTTCTTACCACAGAGGAACCCAGATGGCTAAACCCAAAATTATAGTTGTAAAATACTCCGTTCAACATATGCATTATTAAATGACTCATGCATATGAATAACGACTATTTTAAACATATTTTTCTCATTTCACTTTGGCAAACATAAAACTGTTTAATAATACGAAATGTTTATTGAGGAAAACCACAGTTTAAGACTGAAAATGGCACTGCTCAGGATTCCAGGTGAAGTCTAACATATTTAATTGTTGTAATATTTTTATTTAAAGCTTTCGTGACTGCAGGGATTCATATTCTTGGTTCTTTCGGTAAGTCACGTATTGATATTTTTTGTTATTTTATTATTTCCCTTCTATGTGACTTTACCGAAAGAACCAAGAATATGTTGTAATATTATTACGATGCTCTCAAGTGACCACTTGAAAACATGTCACTCTTACAGAATATGTTGGTATACAACTACAATAATCTGCAAATCTATGTAATGTATGTGGTTCACAGAGCTGCAGGAGTAGAGCTTCAGGGAAATGCAGAGGGAAGTTTTGTCTATTTAGAATCGTTTTTTCATCAGTACAGACTAGCTGTGCTGATAAGACTCATAAAGGAAACCATTTATAATTATTTAGACCTTGGATATTGAGTGAAAAATGTAATTCCTTAAGCATAGATGCTATGGCACATTTGCAACATTTGGGTCTTCGAAAAACTCAACCTCCTAATCCACAAATTTAGCAACGATTAATTTAGTTACACGTCATGCAACACGCTTTCCCTATTAATGAAATTGGGCAGATAATTTTTCCAATGCAAGGCACACCGCAATCACACATTTTTGTTGCAGATCACAGGATCCACAACACGGTTCCCCATATCAATGCAATTTATGGAGTTTGTTGTAATTTTCCCACAATACTGTAGCTATATCAGCTTATTACTTTTACTTCACAGAATCGTTTGATAACGTAGCATACACATCTCGCGCTTTGCTTGAGGACAGGTTTCACTCTAAAAATGACATTTCTGACAGACTCTTTCAGAGCAATCAAGTAAATCATGTTTCGAAGTCGTAGCAGTTGTGCTGTCAGGAGATAAGAACTACTCACCGAGACATTCCATTAACTGTTCAGCGTTAATGATTTCCATTCCAGCAGGGAATCGGATCTGTCCAAAAGAACGTGACACATTTTAGTACAGCTCCACATCTGAAAAACTGCGGATGTCATACAAAGCAGCAAAGCAGGTTAAAACAGTAATCAAAGCCATATTTTAAAATATCTTGAAACTAATCACAAGGGCTGGAGTATAGTGTAATTGACCCCAACATTTTAATGAAAAATACAAATAATGCTGGAATAAAATACCATTTAGAATCAAAGCTAAATTATACAAGGCAGTTACAGAAATAGTAGCATGATTCAGTGGGATATACACAGACTCAAAATAACCAATACTTGTTCTATAGCAGCTCGTAATATGTGCATACGTTCTAAAAAAAACCAGAAAGGTGATCATATGCGTACAAATTAAAGCAATGACCTAGTTTAGTATTATTTGGAAACATTTACGTGTGCAAATAAGGAAGTAGGAAACCACACTGCTCTACTTATACACGGGAGGTACTGACATTTGATGACTGTGTTAACCAAGCTTGGGCTCGCTTGAACACAGTATTTTGTTACGATTAGACCACTTTTCACAATTACCATTTCAGAATTATATTAACTGAGCGTGCAAAGCTCTTTCAAAATACAGTTATCCGAAGCAGTACTCCCTTGTTTTATAATGATTATAATACATGTGCACCAGAATCCATTACAATTGTGTAATGATAATGAAAAATACCTGCACGGTTCGTTTTGGGAAAGGAATCATGTAGAAGAAAATGAGAGGCTTTAATGCTCTTATTTCAAGTGCCAGCGATGAATTAAGGATTAGAAACTGAGCAATCACGAAAACGTGTACACATTTACCGAAATCATCATGGAAAGTTGCACAACTGAACAGTTAATGTCAGACTATAAATACACAGATTAGAAAAAGATATATATATATCACACGAGAAATTAACAACAAAAATGTAGGTGGAAATGTTGCTGGAAGCGAATTAACTTCTGTAACAACACCTGTGTTGGAAAAGCAGGTAAATGAGGGAACACACACACACCAAGAACAGAACGAAGTGGTTAGATCTTGTGGGTGCAATATGCATATAATTTGCACAGCACTGTGAGCAGAGGTCCTGTACTAGCGTGGCAAAAGACACCCAGCCGTAAAATGGATGATGCCATCACATGACATACACTGCAAGGATGTGATTGTGCCAAATGGTTGCCTTTACAGGACTTAATGCACTTTCATCATTAGCAATCAAACACTGCACTGAACTGCAATAAAGCAGTACTCCCTTAAGTACACGTGCAGCACAAGAATCAATTATTTACAAATGCTTCCAGACAAAAAAACCGAGTTACACAAATTACCAAAAGGCTGAGCGAAATCTCTCTCTGAACTAACCAATACGTGCTTCTCCTCTGCAATGTTTCTAAAATCCCAAACCCTGGTAAAACCTGAAAGGACTTTCCTCTTTCCATATAACGGGGACATTTTAACGCAAGTATAAACGAATCACATCACACTCGTGTGCCACTTAGAAACAATTCATCGCTACCTTCCAGGAAAGCAGCAGCACATTCATGATGGCCAGCAAAGGACAGGGTCCATTCTCGTTCTGCGTTATAATGGCAGTGCTCTCCCCTTTCCACTTGATCCACTTGATGTGATAGATGGACTGTCCAGGGAACTTCTCCTTAGCGGCCACCGCAGTCTGCTGCTGCTTGTGGAGTGGAGTGGCTTCTCCTCCTGTCCCTCCTCCCACGGCAGGTTCGCCCCTTGTTGTTGTTGCCGCCTGCTGCTGCTGCTGCTCGTCCAAGCCTTCATTTGTCTTTACTGCGGCCTTGACCTCTGCATCCAAAGAGGCCGGGTCTCCTTGGTTCGCTGACCTTTCGGGGCTCCGTGTAGGCGAGGAAGTGTCCATGACGCTCCTCTCTAAAGCCCCGCACCTTTCTGATCCACCATGCGTAGAAGCCTGCACGTGCGCTGCTGCTCCTGCTGCTGCACCTGCTGCACATACTGCTGCTCCACCTGATGCGCCTGCTGCTACTGCTGCACATGCTGCTCCACCTGCTGCTCCTACTACTGCACCTGCTGCACCACCTGCTGCTGGACCTGCTGCTGGACCTGCTGCTGCTCCTGCTGCTGCTCCTGCTCCACCTGCTGCACCTGCTGCTCCACCTGCTCCTGCTGCACCTGATCCACCTGTAGCTCCACCTGCTGGACCTACTGCTGCTCCCGCTGAAGTTGCCATTGCTTCTTCAAAAGTTGCAGGCACTGTAGCTGTTGTCGCTGCTGCTGCAGCAGTAGCAGCAGCAGCAGGTGCTGCTTTTGGCGAAACAGACGTTGCCGATGCGGCTGTCGGTGCGGACGTTCCTGTTGCTCCTCCCGAGGTAGACGATGCAGCAGCAGCAGCTGCCGCTTCTCCTGCAGCAGTAGCGGCAGCTGCTGGTGCACCTACGGCTGCTGCTCCTGGAGCAGACGACGACGACGATGCTGATGAGGTCCCTGTCGTTGAAACCGCCACTGCTGCTGCTGTGCTTGCGCCGACTTCTCCAGCGGCGATTGCTACTGCTGCTCCTCCTCCTCCTGTATAGGCGGCCGCTTCTGCTTTAGCAGCAGACACGGCATCGTCTCCTGCTCCTCCTGCTCTGCCCGGAGCCTCGGTCGCCGTGGCCCCGTGGCCCCCGCGGCTCGGCATCACCCGCCGCGGCTCGTGGGCGGCTCCGTCGCCCACGCCCCGGGCTCGCAGGGCCGAAGCCTCGGCCTGGCCTGCTGCGTCCGCCGACAACGAGGGCACTACCTCGGCAGCGTTTACGGCGGCGGCTACGGCCGATCTGGATGAGGTCACCTCTCGGCGGCTTTCGTCCGGTTTAACCTCACGTACACCGACGCCACCAGCGCCGTCGACAGCAGCGCGATGTCCGGCTACGCCCGCGGTTGCCTCCGTTATGCCGAATCCGCCCAGCGCCGCCTTCTCCAGGTACCCGGGCCCGGCCGCGGCCTGGTCGCGACTCGGGACCTCGTCGTCGCCTAGCGGCCACGCCGACTTTGGATGCTCGTCCCGGGCAGGGAGGAGCGGGAGGAGGGCCCCCTTCAGTCGCGTCTCGGACATGGCTCACAGGCGCGGCGCCCTGCGAGACGTAAACACGGATGACGACAATTGTGAAAAGAACAACACAAAACAACAAATAGCCGAGTGTGACAACAACGTTAGTGAGAGAAGGCTATTGGCGAGATTAGACCGATGGGTTTATTATGTTTACGTAACGTAAGCCGACGGTGACGATGACGGGGGTTGGTGATGTGGAGCGTCTCACCCGCTCGCCATGTCGCCTCCTCTAATGCGCGGATTAAAAAAAAAGTTTTATCTCCTTCGCTGGTTGTGTTTGAGGAGGACAAAGAAAACAATGACGAGAGGAGGAAGAGGAGAGAAGGGGGGGGGTGCTGATAGTGTTGTTGTGGCTGCTGCTGCTGCCGCTGCTTTTGGAGCGAAGTGGTAAAATTGAAGCCGAGACGGGCGGGGTCGCGCCTCCCTCCCTCTGTCAAAACCACGCCTCTGTAGAGTCGCCGCGTACAGACACAATTATACACAACACTCTCTAAGACACAATGTACACAATTACACACAACACAACACTCTCTAAGACACAATGTACACAATGACACACACCACAACACTCTCTAAGAGACAATGTACACAATTATACACAACACTCTCTACGACAGTGTACACAATTACACACAACACAACACTCTCTAAGAGACAATGTACACAATTACACACAACACAACACTCTCTAAGAGCCAATGTACGCAATTATACACAACATTCTCTAAGACACAATGTACACAATAACACACAACACTCTCTAAGAGACAATGTACACAATTACACACAACACAACAGTCTCTAAGACACCATGTACACAATCATACACAGCACAACACTCTCTAAGAGACAATGTACACAATTACACACAACACAATACTCTCTAAGAGACAGTGTACACAATTACACACAACACAACACTCTAAGAGACACAGTGTACACAATTACACAACACAACACTCTCTAAGAGACAGTGTACACAATTGTACACAACACAACACTCTCTAAGAGACAGTGTACACAATTACACACAACACTCTCTAAGAGACAGTGTACACAATTATACACAACACAACACTCTCTAAGAGACACAGTGTACACAATTACACACAACATAACACTCTAAGAGACACAGTGTACACAATTATACACAACACAACACTCTCTAAGAGACAGTGTACACAATTACACACAACACAACACTCTAAGAGACACAGTGTACACAATTATACACAACACAACACTCTAAGCCACAGTGTACACAATTATACACAACACTCTCTAAGAGACACAGTGTACACAATTACACACAACACTCTCTAAGAGACTGTACACAATTACACACACACAGCACTCTCTAAGAGACACAGTGTACACAATTACAAATCCACCCATATAGCCCCACAGTGTACACACACACACAGAGTGACAGAGCACACACACACACACATTGACCTGTCTACCCACGCGGTTTACCCCGGAGTATTCCTGTAGAGGGAAATTGAGTTCTCAGGTCCATCCGTTTCAATGCGGGCAAAACAAATACATGTTTGTCTATTTGTGTTTCTCTCCCTTGCGATGAGACTTTGTAGGATCAACGTTGAGATTTATAAGGGGCACTGGGTGGGCTAGTAAGGTCTGAATTGGTCTGTAAGAAGGTTTGGCACTGATAAGGGGTTGACGGGTTGACAGTACTGTAAACATTGTCCACAATTACACACTATTACTGTGCGTCGTAGTCGACAGTATTGGTGTACACAAGGATAGATACACAACGTACACGATAGCACACAATTGGAGGCATTGCATATAATTATGTTGTGTACACAACTACAGAATACATCCACTACATAACGCTTAGTGTACAGAATCAGACAGTGCACACACAAATATACATTTAAACATAGCCTTGCGGTACTGTATTGTATACACACTAATGCTAACCCATAGTCTAGTTAGGGGGTCGTCCATAAATGACGTCACACGATTTTGGACGATTTTTGACCCCCCCCCCCCTCGTCACACGGCGTCACAAAAAGGCAGACCCCCCCCCCTCAAATATGACGTCACAAAGCTCTGCCCCCCCCCCCCCCCCAAAATAAAACATGCTTCAAATCGCTTTCAACTATTGTCATTGTAGTGCGTATTTAATGTGGCGCTGTACTCTGATATTGTAGGAGAATTTTTTTTATTAAAAAGTCTATTTAATTAAGTAGAACGTGTTGTCTATATTTAATTAAAGTTGCGCATTTTGATGTGACGTCACAATTCTCACCCCCCCTCGTCACACATCGTCACATATGTCTGACCCCCCCCCCCCCCCAGGTGCGTGACGTCATTTATGGACGGCCCTTTATGCCTCTGCAACCTACACAATCACACGCCTGTAATACGTCAAGGTATTTCTAATCCTCCATAGACATACATTCCTTCTACAGGTAGTCCTCGACTTACGATGGAGATGCGTTACGACGACCCCCATCGTAAGTCAAAGATATCGTAAGTCGAAGACGGCCTCGCCTACCCAGGAGTCTTAAAGAATGGTGACAATTTAGCAAAACAGAGCAATTTATAGTACCGTACTGTATAAACTATATACTGTATGTTTTTATTAATTACAATACAGTATATATACCATAAACATACACTATACACATTGACAGTAGTTATAAAAACTACACGAGACTATAGTAGAATATAAAACAGTACCACTTAGCAGTGCATGTACTTGGCACTAAAGGTTTTTAGCACGTTACCATAGATGTCCCCAACTCTTTGATGCGCCTAAAGGTCTTATTACATATGCATTAGACACACACTAGCTTGCGTACACGACTCTATCGTCATACACTTACATTTTAGGCATGTCTTCATATTGCACTGTACACACTAGTTAATATAACAACTATACTTGCCTCTGTAGTGTCATTCACTAGATAGAGATATATAGATATACGAGTATCGTTCTGCATGTAACATAGCTTCTAGATCTCTATCGCCGTGCACACATTAGCATCTATGCCACGATCATCATACATTCCTGGACTTCTGTGCAAAAGAGCTTTGTTGCTCGTCGGATTTATCGAGGATGAATACAGATTCTGATTCAGTATAACCACGCTTCATCAATGTCCAGTTATCCACAACCTTCACGAGTTATCGCCACTGCCACACCAACACGTGTTACAGTTGTGCCTTTGTGTTATTGAAATTAGAGACGGGATATCCAATTATTTCAATTTAATCATCGATTACTCCAGATTATTGGTTCGTTAACACGACTAATCTCGTATAAAATGGATATAGTTGTTGGGGGGGGGGGCGTGAGTACAGGTTGGTCCACATATCTTGTGACCATTATCTAATTCTCTATAACGTTATATAATTATTGTCAAATCTTTCACGAACATCTTTCATATTTTTTTTCTGGTTTGTGATCGTTAATGTGCCCATACGCTCACTCTAAGCCGTTCTATATGAACTCGTATCAGTCGTCTGAAATCAAAAGTAAGGTTTATTTAAAACAGAAATAAATATGCAAAGGCAACACAAAATGTTTTGGGGTCAATTATTTACGGGGTCACAAGACACCTGGACCACCCTGTCGAGTAAATGACATCAGTTTTGCGCACGTGCCACGAGTCTTGGTGCCGCATCAGAAGCCACGTGGTGTGTACGGGGGGTTTCCCGCCTTCAATATTCAGGATATGGGGGCGGGGGAACGTCGTTCATAATTTGGACTAATCGACCGACGCGACTCGTCCCTGCTCTAACGTATCCACACCTCCCAAGGGTTATCAGCACTGCCACATAACGCTATAAACTTGCATGTTCCACCACATTTCCTTATTATGCACAAACTGCACATCGCTCATTCCTCGAGAGGAAGGAGTAATGTACAGAGGTATAATACTGTGTTAAAGTTATTAACACGGAACAATGGCTAGAGTTACACAACAATTATAATCAATATACACACAGTTATCTATTGTTACACCTACGGGTGACTGGGCCAAGCAGCAACGCTTTCACCAATTATTGGAGAGCTTCGTGGTTCGATTGCAGTGGCCGCCCTAATTATTACTGCCGGTTTAAAAAAAACACGGTGATACTATGCGCCATCTGCTTCACAGTGGACGTTAAAATCCCGTAACGACATTCGCCAGAGAAGGCAATTACCAGGGTACAAATGTGCAAAGCTTGAAAATTACCCGCAAATGACTCCATTTGGATTATGCGCAGCAATCATCGCCCCAGGTCACTCCCTCTCTTGAGTTCTCACCTGGTTAAAGTAAACTTGACCTTGAACTACCCACGGTTATAAACGCACGTCTTTCTCGTGTTAGAATCGCACCCGTCTCGAGTAAGTCCAGTATCGTAAACAAACAGTGTTAAATCACATCCCTCTAATGTCAAACTACGCCTCCCGCCATAAGTATAACTTAAAGGTGATGTATAACTACAATTTGTCAAGGTCAGTGGTTACTTTAACCTCTCAATCGTAAAAAATGTGTCATGTTAATAAATACACATAGGGGGTTTGATGAAATCAAGTAGTTGTGCTTACGTACCCATCCTTAATTTGTGTTTCGATTATTTACCTTTTAAAAACATCTGGCCACGTCTTGCACCCCCAGAAAAGGCATCTCGCACCCCCAGGGGGTGCGTGCACCCCAGGTTAAGAAGAACCACTTACATAGATCGTTATGATCACAAACTATTGTGCTTCCACAACACCGCCTCGTGTTTCCCTCGTTGTGTTTCACGCTTCTGACATTTCATGTTCATTTGGACGAATTTGCCATGGCCTCAAGTTATGATTAAAACTAATTATTTATTTAAACCATGTTAAAGCCTATTGAGACTACTTATGCACTCATATTTAAGGGAGCTGGGATAACATCAATTCAGAGGTGCAAAAACTGCTGAATAATGAACGTACGCACGTGAACATTTTTCATACTCAAAAATGTACACCCTTAAATTTTAATATAAAAGTACAATTCAATACTCTTTGGTTCTTTCGGTAAAGTCACGTGGGTATAAAAAAAATCTGACTTCAGGTGGTGGATGCTCGTGTTGCGACCGAAACGTCGTGATCTATTATTTTTTCTACCTACGTGACTTTACCGAAAGAACCAAAGCGTATGGATTCCTGCGGTCACGAAAGCTTCAAATTAAAATGCAATAGTTTCTTAAACAAACGTTAAGATTAAATATGCATAGTAATCGGATCGAGCAGTAGTGCAGCCGTTAGCCGCTACACTTTGGACCAGTGCCCTGATTTTAGTTTCCTGCCAGGACTAATGTAAGTGTTGCATGATATCTGAACCGGTTCTAGATTCCCACCTTCAACACCTAACACGGACGTACATAGTTACGTTTGGTTGATCAATCTCCATAACTGGCGTGGCATGGGTCTTTATCCACCAGTTGATTGACAAATTACCGCAAATTTTGGTTTAATCATCGGAAAAAGAGGAGCGAACGTTTTATACACAACAATATTGTTCCAAAAACTAGGTGTGAGCATGGTTTGAACATAAATAAAAATGATTCAAGTAGAACATATGAATAAAAAAATATTTTATTCTGAAATATAATTGTAATAAAGCTCGTTGAGGCGACTTCTGGAATCCGTCTTTTATTCAACTTGTATTACATAATTACGGATATTATTTGTAACTTGGAAAGTTTTTTCCAAAATAGTTCATGCATGATTTAGTCATAAATCTCTCAGTTACAATGATCCAGTTATTGGAAATAAATATTACATTCGTACACTCTGCCATCAAAATTTAATTTCAAGTTGTACATTGGCAAACACAGATGTAATTGTTGGTAGAAGCTCATACAGGGAACTTTGGAAACCTATTGGTGAAAATGCATTTACATTTTTACGCGATGTTGTTTGAGATTCTATTGTCGGCCTTTTTGTGCTCAGTATTTTTTTATTTTGTTTTTATAGCTTAAGTATTTATATTTAGGCTGGGTTTGTCATTTTATAATTATTACTGTATAGTTTTTAAATTATTAATAAATAATTGTTATGCAAAAATGAAACACGACTCAATGTTCAAATGAACATCTTAATTTTTGGTGGTAATGTGGTATCCGTGGAAATTCCACATTCAAATGGTAAGCAGGTATCCGCTGTTAACTTCTTATTAGGTGTTACTCTGGATGAATGACTAAATGTCCCCAGCATGTTGAAATATGCAATATTACTCGTGCAATACTGTGGTCATTCTAATGGTTCCCGCAATAGAAATGTAATATTTACATCACTGGTTCAGGATCATTGTTCGAGATTACTGCTGCCCCCATTACTTATTTGAGCAGGGAGAAAACTCTTTAACATTTAACTTGAATTCTACATTAAAACAAAAACAATGCAACCATTCAATCCACTGCTGGGTGAATAAGGCTTGTCCACGCTGTGTTAATATTCAGGGTTGATTCACCATATTTCACCACACCAGTCAGTTTGGGTTGGCGAA